ATGCCTGTTCATTTTTTATTGTTTGATTAATTTGAGAAAGAGAACTTTATAAATGTCGGTTCCGAATCGATTGCAATTTGCCGAGGTTTTGTATTCCATAAGTCCTGATGTAGTTGTTACATTATTAGGTATACTTCTTAGTGATGTTTGCTGAATGTGATTTACTTGTTATTGCAGTTCAAAGATGAGGGAAATCCTTCACATTCAAGGAGGACAATGTGGAAACCAAATTGGATCTAAGTTCTGGGAAGTTGTTTGTGCCGAACATGGCATTGACCCAACCGGAAAATACATCGGAACTTCTGATCTTCAGCTGGAGAGGGTCAATGTTTACTACAATGAGGCCTCTTGTGGACGATTTGTACCTCGTGCAGTGCTCATGGATCTGGAGCCTGGTACCATGGACAGTGTGAGGACTGGTCCTTACGGTCAGATCTTTCGCCCTGATAACTTTGTGTTCGGTCAGTCTGGTGCTGGAAACAACTGGGCCAAAGGACACTACACCGAGGGTGCTGAGCTTATTGATTCAGTTCTTGACGTTGTGAGGAAGGAGGCTGAGAATTGTGACTGCCTTCAAGGTATAAAGCTTGTCCATTATGTGTAGTTATGTTATGAATTGCTCCAGAATAGTTAATTTTTGCTTATGCATTGGTAACTATGAAATATGGTAAAATAGCCTTGCTCATTTTCTTGCTGTTATTCTTGTAGGTTTCCAAGTTTGCCACTCGCTCGGAGGTGGAACTGGTTCTGGAATGGGTACATTGCTTATCTCCAAGATCAGGGAAGAGTACCCTGACCGAATGATGCTTACTTTCTCAGTGTTCCCATCACCTAAGGTTTCTGATACAGTGGTTGAGCCCTACAATGCTACCCTTTCAGTCCATCAGCTTGTTGAGAATGCTGATGAGTGTATGGTACTTGATAACGAGGCTCTTTATGACATTTGCTTCAGGACTCTCAAGCTTACAACTCCTAGCTGTAAGTGTACTTGAATCTATTTTTTGTTGGATAAGACATTTCACTGTTGACTAGTTAATTATATTATCTCACTAGTTTATCTTTTTTGCATGATGCATTCCTAGTTGAGTTTCTATTCTTTAAACTTTTTAAAGGGAATGTGATTGAATGATCGGGTGCAAACTTTTGTTTACCATTAAAATTAATCATAGGATTTTTGCATTTTTTCAAGTATGGTGAATTGGAAATCATTTTGAAATATGGAAAATGTGATCAAAATTTTAGCCCTTGCAAAGTATAGAAGAATATTGAAACTTTGATAGGTTGGCAATACTTGAATCAAATTTTGAATGTTTTTGAAGTTTGGCCTTTACAAACTGCCTTTTTGGATCAGCTTATGAGTTCTGTCCTTTTATACACCTTTTAAGAATATTATTTCCATTTCAAAGATAATCGTTGATAAAATTCCATTTTGATCTAGTTATAACCTGGGGTTGTGTTATTGAGCTGCTCCATTACTTTAACTACTTGGGATGTACAATGGTCAATTCATAAATACGAGTGCTGACAGATATTTTTGCTTACAGTTGGTGATCTCAATCATTTGATCTCTGCTACCATGAGTGGTGTGACCTGCTGCCTGAGGTTCCCTGGTCAATTGAACTCTGACCTCCGCAAACTTGCTGTGAATCTCATTCCCTTCCCTCGTCTTCACTTCTTCATGGTTGGATTTGCCCCACTCACCTCTCGTGGGTCTCAGCAATACCGTGCATTGACCGTCCCTGAGCTCACCCAGCAAATGTGGGATTCAAAGAACATGATGTGTGCCGCCGACCCCCGTCATGGCCGTTACCTCACTGCTTCAGCAATGTTCAGGGGTAAGATGAGCACCAAGGAAGTTGATGAACAGATGATCAACGTCCAAAACAAGAACTCTTCTTACTTTGTTGAATGGATCCCCAACAATGTGAAGTCTAGTGTTTGTGACATTCCTCCCATTGGTCTCTCCATGGCTTCTACTTTCATTGGTAACTCCACTTCAATCCAAGAGATGTTTAGGCGTGTGAGCGAGCAGTTTACTGCTATGTTCAGGAGAAAGGCTTTCTTGCATTGGTACACTGGAGAGGGTATGGATGAGATGGAATTCACTGAGGCTGAGAGCAACATGAATGATCTTGTGTCAGAATACCAGCAGTACCAGGACGCCACTGCTGATGAGGATCTCGAGTATGATGAAGAGGAGGAAGAGGACTACCAGGTGTAGAGAGGAATTTTGCGAGCTTCTCAGTGATTTTTACAATCCTGAGGTTTGTGGTTCTGGCAGAGCTTGACTTCAATGCCGTTACTGCAAGTTGGAAAAAGCCCTGTTTTCCCCTTCCCTATTAGTTATAATATTAGCAGTTTAATTAGTAGTTTGGAGATATACTCAAATCTATTCTATTGCCGAAGTTATACTTGGATTTAGAGCTGTTTGTTAGGCTCAGTGCATTTTAAATGGCATGGATATAGTTGTGTGATAAGTGATGTGCATTTTTATCATCGATTAAGACAGTTGTTTTCTGGCTGTTGTATCGAGATTCAAATTTGAGGCAGTCGTTTGTAGTTTATGACCTATTTTGCAGTATTATTGGCAGTCGTAAGCTCTCTTTTTTACTGCTGCTATCATCTTGTCTAGCCTGAACCGAGAACCTAAACCCTGATCCAGCCCTGTAATGTAGAGTTCGGGTTTTATTCACGGGGCTAACATGTGGTGGTGTACAAACATAAATCATCTCAACACGTATCTGCACATGGCCGATTGTTGTATATGTCCTTGCATAGAGCTGCATCTGCACATGGCCTATATGAAGTACTTCGTACTCCATGAAACCTTTGTTTTGAGGTGTGAACCCCAATGTGTTCCGTAGTTATTTCCTTAATCATGTGTCATGTCCAATTGCAGTAACATTATTCCTGTAATTACTATCACTGTAATTGTTGAACCCAAAGTCACCCCCTGTTGAAGGACACCAATGTTAGCTGCTGTGAAACAGTGAATCGGCCTGTATCAGTGGTCTGGTCGTTTCTGGTCTCATCTTCATAACCGTGCATTGTTATGGCCGGAACTGTCCACTGCTCATTAGCAATGTCTTTTGTAGGTCATTTTGGACGATGAATGTCATTGAGGCGTCTCATTCTCCCCAATCACAGCTTTTGGGGGTAAGATTGTCATGGCTTTTCTCTGGAGCGCGTAAGAAATTAAGTGTAATAATTTCCTTAAATACGAAGGTCTTATAAATTACATAGTAGTACTATATATAGCATATGCAGTGAAATTATTACTAGTGAATAATTGTTACTCGTAGTGAATAATTGTTTGGATAATGGATGCAATAAGGTTGGTAAGTTGAAAGTTTTCAGTGAAGTAACGAGAAAATTGTGGAAGACGAAAAAGAAAAAAAGGAAGAGGTAAGAATGCACGTGTATTGGGGGAGTAAAAGCATGCATCTAGTGACCCCAAATCACATTATAAAGTTCATTATTCTATACCACTAGCAGTACTAACCTCACTTCCAATCTACCACCGTCCACCGACGTTTTTTAGTTATTTTAATGAAATATTTTATTTTACGATGTAGAGAGATAGAAAGCCGTTAACGACAACGATAAAAATGTAATATGTAGTAGAGCTGACAATTCCTGACACGATAACATGAAGGAATTCGGCACGACACGAATGTGAAGTTATCGAGAGAAAACACGACACAAAATCAACCTAAACACGACCCATTTAGGTAAAGTGATCAAATTATGTAATTATCATACGTTTTACATAGTTTTTGATAGGTTATATGAACAACACGAATGTGACACGATACGGCCTTTTGCCAACTCTAGTGCGTAGATTATAATGGTGAAGACTGTCATTCAACAAAATTAACTAAGTGAGTTAATGTCTCGTATATTAATAGATAAAGTTTATCTTATGAGTTAAAGGATAAAATACTCCAATGATTAGGCTTCCTAGTTTAGGGCTCAACACCCAAAGCTCGACTTTATTTTTACATTTTTTATGATCCCAACCGAGTATCTAGTGAAGATCGAACCCAAGGTTTACTAAAATTTGTTAGGGTAGCTACCATTGCATCATGAATAATTAAAACAAAAGAATATCATAAGACGTAATATTGGTTAATACATCTCTGTTGCCAGCTTTTCTATTAAAAACGCATACATCCATGTTCTCCAATCACCAAATCACTAGCTTATGCTAAAAATACATAATTGTCCCACGCAACTCGACAACTTATCACACTATATTACAAATGAGATAAGTCCCTACTCTCTTACATTGTATGTTTGCTAATATTTCAATGGTACTAGACCCACTTCACAAAATAAATATATTTATTTTGGAGTTATTTATATGATAAATACGATTTGCTATCATATTATGACTAATTCGAAATCAGGTTGGTAAGACGTCGTATGGGATGGAAGCTCTCCTAACAAATGTTGAAGTGGTGATGATATCTCTAGCTGAGATAGTAAAATCCTCTTATTGGTAATTTAAGAATTAGTCGGTTATATTTGACTAAAACATTAAATAATGCTAGTTTCGCAAATTTTATCTTTCAATTTGCAGTATTACTATTTTATCAAAAACCCTTTACATTAGTTTAAGGCTTTTAGCCATTTATACCGTAATTAATTTATAACTCTTTGTGTTGCGCCATGTAATCTCTTAAGAACAAATCAAATATACCCTTTAGCACTTTTAAAAAGAAAAGGACTAGTTATTTTTGCATGGAGACCATGATACACTAAATATAACAAAAATTTCTCCCTATCGCAATCAATTTGTTTAGAATCACACTTGATAAGGCAATTAAATGTTACAACTAATTTGAGACGGAAAATGTATCCCTATAGACCTCATAGAGTCTACAACAACAATGTAACATGGAATAGGGACAGCAAGGCCAATGTGGTAATATTAAGGAAGAGTTGACTGTTAAGGGGCATTCATTATTTCATCCCTTTTAAAAGGTTGTAATGTGGCGGCTGCAAAATTCCATGTTCTTTATTCTTACTAGAAAATAAAATACTAGTACAAATCTTATCAGTTATCTCTAACATAAATATCCAACCAATAAACTCCATTTTATCAAACAGTTCTCAAAAAGAGTATAATCATGAAACAGAGAATACTTGCCTCCAATAATAATATGCTCTGTTTTGCTCTGTTTTTCCTCTGTTTAATTTTACAAGAAATTCCAAGTATTGAAGCTTACAAAAATTATACAGTTGGAGATTCTTTGGGTTGGTATGATAAATCTTCCAAATCTAGTGTCGATTATGAAAAATGGGTTTCTGGAAAATCTTTCTCTTTGGGTGATTTCCTCAGTAAGTTCATCAATCTTTCTGTGCTTTCCTCTGTTTTTTAATCATCATATGTTATGGTATCATAATTATTGATTAATTGATTTTATAGCTGATTGTCTAAAAACCCACTACAGATTAAGTACTAATTTCATTATGTTTATGTTAATTGTATGATTAATCTTATAATCTTGTTTATTTGGTTCCATTTTATGTATCATTGTTTTGCGTTTGTGTGATAATGTTTCAATTCATAAGCTAATAATCACATATTCTAAAAGTTTAAGCTTATAGATCATTAAGTTATGAAAAAGTAAATGAAATGCGCTGAATTTTATTAGGGGGAGCTCTTATTTTTTCATTTTTATTTTGTATAAAAATATCGAAAAAGTAGTAATGTAGACATGATTTGATCTTAGATGTCATCGTTAAACTTCAACTAAGGTAGTTTACTACTAATAGTCCAATAAGTACTCCGTACCCTTTTAGTGATGATTGCCTCAATAACAAGCTATTTAAGTACTGAGATTGCCATTTTATGCTTTTAACTTTTGGGTCTAAAAGTACATGTACTAATAAGTAGTAGATGATTCAAAGCTTCAATTCACAAGCAAAGCATATGTTAAACATCTAGTTACAAAAGCCCTTTAGAAAACACGAATTGCAATACAAAGATTTAAGATTTAGACCATAAATAGAAATACTCCTAATTTTTTTACCGTTCTCTTGTTTAATGTGTTTCTAGTAACAAAAACTAAGAAAAAAGTTTGTGCAAGGTTAAAAACGGTTTTTGGAGGTTAGATATTATAAGGTTTTATAATAATATCTACTTAATTTAATTTATGTAGTTGTAGTAATTAATAATGATAAAAAAGTAAGTAAAAGTACTTATCTTGTGAGTCTTATTGAAAACTTGACCCAGTGTCGGCATTATTAGCATATTACAACAATTGCATGTTAGGTGTCTAAGTTTCTTAGATATGGGGCATTAGAAAAATCTAAAGTATTGCTAAAATAGGTGGATGAAGCAACCGTCACATGTAAATATAAAATTTTAGCGCAATCCTATCAATATGAACAATGGTGTGTATGTTTGTGTGCGCGTATTGCATAACATATGCATGTACAGTATACGTCACATATAAATTAGTTCAAACTCGGGTGTAAGGTGAAATGTTGTGTTAATTGAATCGTTATTATTTAAAGTTTGAAACTATTTGACTGAATATTAATCATATTTTTTTAACTCTCTACGTGTAGTTTTCAACACTGATAGTAATCATACGGTAATCCAAACATTCAACTCCACAACATACACTTCATGTGATTCTCAAGGCGACGACAATGTGCAATGGTCAAGCACTGCACCAAATTCCACGGTTGTACGCCCTATAACAGTAGCTGTCCCCCTAATGAAAGAAGGTGTATCATATTTTTTCTCAGGGGATTATGATGGAGAGCAATGTATGAATGGTCAAAAATTTTCTATTAATGTGACTCATGGTAAAGGATTGCCTCCTAGCCTTAAGAACAACCCCGACTTCGCTGTGGGTCCCGGTCCCACTCCCGCCACTGGGGCAGATGCTGCCCCAGGGCCGGATAATCCCGACTCAGGGGATGATCAATCTGCCCCGGATACCATCATATCCTCGGATTTTAACCACCCTAAGAACGTACCCGAGGATAGTACTAGTGGTGGTGACGAAGATGATGATGATGCTAAAAAATCCAACAATGTAGCTGGTTTTTTGCCTAATTGGAAGATGTTCTTTGCTAGTTTGATTGGTGGGGTTTTGCTTCTTCTTTGATGATTTCATACATTTTTAAGGAGGTTGCTAGTTTAGTGTTACCCAAATATATACAAGTACATTTTTATTTACATATTCTTTTGGCAATTTTCCACACTACTTAATTTTTTTTCATATGTATTTGGTGTTTTGAACACATACTTTCATTATTCACATGTAATATATTAGTTACTACGGTCCTTACAAAGTAATTTACTTGTATTTTTTTATAATTAAACATGATTGGTTTGTCAAATTTTAATCTTGGTTCGTGCTCATTTAGATGATTGATCATGTATATTTGTTCAAGAAATTGAGGGGACGTTATGAAGTGGGAGCTTTCTTTGGAGAGTACGAAATATACTCTTAAGTAATTGATTGTTTGAAGTAGGCATCTATATATACTAGTGTATCCACCAAGTAATACTTGGTCTTGTACGGATTGTATTTGTATATAATTGAGAGGTTGTGGGATCAATTTCTCCGGCCACTTTAGACTTCAGAGAGTCTTGTCTGTTAACTTGTGTCCCCTATAATATACTTGTAAATTTGTAATAATAAAATCCTATAACAATAAGACATATTATCATCTGTGTTTTTCTTTTTGGGTAACAAATTAGCATTGTTGATTTCTTACTTTATAAATTGCACGGTAAGTAATATTTCTTTTAACAAAATATGTTAAGTCTTGTATCCTAATTTAATCTTTTATGATACTTTGATAATTGATATAGATAGATTTCCCCTTATTGTGAAGTATATGTATCTTTTGTAATATGAATAATATTATTAGTACCTAAAGAGAAGGGGGGACTGGGCTTACGTTCTGCCAGACAGACTAATGCTGCATTTTTAACCAAGTTGGGGTGGCGTGTTCTTACAGAACCCAATGCATTATGGTCTAGAGTGCTAAGAGCAAAATATTGTAAAGGGCGTTGTGACATAGACATGTTTGAATCCAAATCGAATATGTCAAATGTGTGGAGGGGTATTTCAGAAAATGCTAAACTCATTAATGAAGGTTCGAGAGTGGCAGTGAGTAATGGGTCTACAACTTTGTTCTGGGATCACAATTGGGCTTTTAAAAAGCCTCTGAGAGCAGTAGCAATTGTTGAGATTCCTGAACAGTTAGATGGTGCGACAGTAGAGGAAATGTGGGATACTGAGATTAGCTGGAAGTGGGATTTGTTCGCTGAGTTGCTGCCAGGGGATGTGCTACGACTTATTGAAGCCCATGCCTTGAGAAAGGATCCAACCACTGGAGACTTTCTTTATTGGGGTGAGTCTGCTCAAGGTAAATTCACAATAAAATCTGCAACACAGATTATTCGCAAAGAAGAAGATATTGGAACTAACTGTGCTTGGAATTTAATTTGGAAATTAAAAGTTCAGCAATGAGCAAGAGTGTTTCTATGGCTAGTTATGCACGATAGAATAATGACTAATGCAAATCAAGTCAAGAGAAGCATTTCTAATAGTCCTTGGTGTGTGCACTGTAATACCAATGAAGAAACAACCCTGCATGCTTTGCGTGACTGCAGGACAGCAAGAGATATCTGGAGGCAAGTAGGTGGCCCTGCAGCAGCTCCTAATTTCTTCACAGGTAATCTTCAGCAGTGGATTGTCAATAATATTAAAGTTCAAGTTGTAAGGATTAAAGTGTTCAACTAACTTGCAATCAACCCACAATAGCAATGAACAAACAAGCATAACAATCAAGAACAACTTTGAAGGAATTAAAGCAAGTAAAAGGAAGACAATGTTACCGTGGGAAAACCCGAGAACCGGGAGAAAAAACCCACCCTTGCACTATGGAGTAATATTGATGATGAATGAACTCAAGAATTACAAGCATGAATTGTATAGAATTCAAATGCTCCTCACAAACCCTCTCAAAACCTCTCTATGTGTTTAAATGTTTGTGAATACTCAACAAAGAGGCTTAGAAAAGGTATATATAGTCTAGGTAGAAAAATACAATCTAACGGCTAAGATTAAAGCAAATCGCACAAGCCGAAAACGAAGCGACGAAATAGGGAGCAGGGGTGGTTCGGTCGAACCTCCTTGGGTTTGGTCACTCCTCCTCTAGAAATGAAAACTGGTGCACCTACTGACTTAAAACCGGGTTCGACCGAACTTTTCACAAGTTTGGTCGAACCTTAACAATAAGGCAGCTTCTATGCAATCTCCTTATGTCTCCATGTATTTATCTATCTCCACACTAATCCTAACACAAGTGAGAAATGATCTCTCCCCTGAGATATGGCCTACATACTTCACTATTGCAATTTGGTGGATTTGGAGATGGAGAAACAATGTGGCCTTTGATAAAGCAAATGAAAATCCTATTGATGTGGGTCAGTTTCTCTTAACTAAGTTTGAGGAAGTCTGGAAGGTGCTTGGTGAAGATCTGGCAAACAATCAGCATAGAACAAGAGCTAGACAGGAAGCTCTTATCATGTGGATGGCTCCTGCTGTTGGTTGGCTTGCCCTGAACACTGATGGGGCAGCCAAGGGTTCACCTGGTCCAGCAGGAGGGGGAGGTCTTGTGAGGGACGATTCTGGCAGAATGCTACATGCTTTTTCCCTGAAAATTGGAGTGTGTGATGCTTTTATAGCTGAGCTCAAAGCCATTGAGTATGGATTGGAACTAGCACTAAGAATGAAAGTGGAAAAATTACAAGTTCAAATTGATAGTCAAAGTGTTGTTGCTGCTCTAAGTAACCAGAATGTTAACCGAGGACAGGGATTCCACATCATTCAAAAGTGTAAGCAGCTAATAGAAGATGTCTCTTGGCAAGTGCAAATCATACATGTGTATCGAGAAGCTAATAGGGCGGCGGATTGGCTTGCTAATCATGGAGTCGTACAGAACAACCAAATTGAGTTGATTCAATTCCCTCCTATCGAGTTAGGACGCATTTTACATGAGGATAGTGTAGGGGTGGCTTTGCCACGTTTAATTTCTGCTTAGTTTATTTTATTTGTTTTTCCCGGGGTTTGTCCCCTCATTTGCACCAAAAAAATAAAAAAATAAAAAAGGAATATTGTAAATTTTTAAAAGGATACAATTTTTTGTATGATCTTTTCATTTGAAAAATAACCTAATTTGTATGGTAGAGATTTAAGTATAACGGTAGGGAAAAAAATCTTCATAGAAATTTGTTAATTATTGTAACTTATGCACTTATTCTTTACATTTTCTCTCAAAGTCAAATATTATAAGATCTATGAATGGTAAATGTGGAAGTTTTAGGTTGAAAATTATTATTGTAAATATAACTTGTATTGAATATTTATGTAAAACTAAGTGTGTAATGAGTTATATATAAGACTAATAAGAGATTGAATATAGTGTCACAAAAAAAATTAGAACACAAATTTTGAGAAATTCGGAGTCATTATTCAACATTTTTCACAATGCTAAAAGAAGTTATGATCTTTTGCTTGTTGGCTTTTGTTGCCACAAACAATGGTATTGCATTGCAATGTTTTGTCTTATAATTTGCTCGACCTTTTCTTTTTCTTCTTTTTTTTTTCTTTTTTTTTGACAAAAATTTGCTCGTCTTTAAATTACAAGTTCTTCAAATTTGATTATTTTTTGAGGCAATGATGAAGGTAGTATACAAATTTATGCAAGATTTATTTAATTATATGGAGTACTAAAAGTTTTTTTTTTAAAAAAAAACAAAAAAAAAAACTATCTCTAATTCTTTTTGTTCTAATTCATATGACTTTTAATTACATACTACTTTAAATTATGAGAAAATGATAGATAAATACTATACATTGAATTAACACATACTATTGCATAGGTTATTGTTGATTTTTTTTAAAAATATCTGATTTACCTTGTGCTTTCATATGTCATTATTTTGTTTAATTCTATTTTCTTTTTTTGTATGCTCCATTATTGCATTAATTAAATGGTTTAAATCTTAAACTAATTTGGAATGTTATTCTTGATTTTTCAGTTGAAGGAAAAACTCCCTTGTTTCAAAGAAAATGGGCAGTATGCAACAATAGTTGCGCATATTTTAAGGATAAAGGATGCTTTAATTATTGTGTTGGCCTTGGTTACATACATGGTGGTGAATGCTATTACAATGGCGGCCCTTGGGGAAATTGTTGTTGTAATCCCAATTAAGCAAAGACTACAAATGCTAGCCTTGTAGTTGTGGTTTACATCCACTTGTTTCTTCTTGATAGTCTTATTTGAAAACTCGAGAATAGTAGTGATACTTATTATACGTATTATAATTAAATTGTTTTATTAGCAAGGGAGTATACGACATTGAAGAAATGAGATAAACTATCAATAATAATATGAATTGTGTTTTTGTTTTCATATGAATTTTAGTAGTGTGAGTGCATTTTACTTCAATTTCATTTCCAGATCGTAATCATATATTTGCCAATGTTTTGCATATAACGCTTTCCTAGTAACATTATTCTCACAACTCATATTATTTTGCCTTAGTGAGAATTACCCTCGTAAGGAGTTGTACCTTATACTTAAATATTGTTACAATGCCAATATACACATATGACCACAAAGTTAATGTCACTATTGATGTTCTTATTTATCAAGAAAATAAAAGATCAATAAAATAGAAAATCACTAACACCATAAGCGGAATTACTTACGAACACGTTTAGTTACGGAGTACTCTAGATTTTCTTTTCAACCTTGAATTTTCATCGAGTTTACCACTACTATTTTATTTTTATTTATTATTATTTTTTTACATCTATCCACCAAAACAAATGAAGCCGATAAAAAACAGTCCGTCAAACCAACCAAATGAAACAGTAATTGTTGACTTCTTGTGTATTGCCAAACAAGAAACACCTCCAAAGTCCAATTCAAAAGCCCCAACTCCAAATTCCCAAAGCTTCTAACTTCTCAAAACTTCACTGCAAAACCATAAAACCAATACAACATCACCCAACTAAAAAGCTCAACCGAATATCAATGGCGGATTCATCGCAGTCTCCGGCGCCGTCGACGTCGTTGTCGGCAATGGCGGCTTTATCGGACAAGGAAAGAGAAGAAATGTTGGAAAGAATGCTTACCAACTTAGCCTTTTGCGACGATTCCAAGCTTCAAAGCTTACTCGCCAACCTTCTTCCTCGTGCTATCGCTTGTCTCTCCTCTCAATCAACTGCAATTCGCAACAAGGTCCTCTAATTACTTAATTTTGTTATAGTTTTATTGAATTTTGATTTTGCTTTTCATTTTCGGTTTTACTGATT